CTGGAATAGTGAAGTCATTAACATAAAAATAATAGTCAGGCCCAGCCAGCATGGCTCAGTGGTTGAGCATCAAGCTATGCACCAGGAGGTCACGGTTCAATTCCTGGTCAGGGCACATGCCCGGCTCGTGGGCTCAATCCCCATTGTGGGACGCACAGGAGGCAGCCCACCAATGACTCTCTCATCACTGATGTTTCTCTCTCTCTCCGCCCCCTCCCTTCCTCTCTGAAATCAATAAAAATATATTTAAAAAATAAAATAACAACAGTCAGGAGCAGAATGGGTTCCTTAAACTCGAAGGTAACAATTGATTCACCTATTGAGACTTGTGACTCTTCCTCTCCCTCACACAGTGTGCACAAAAGGCACCTAGAACAGATGGAATGGGGCTGACAAATATGAACAAGAAAGAAGTTGTTGTTGCCATCCTAAATCAGATATCTGAGGGAAGTAAGACCCACCTTCCCACATAACATAAATGCCGGTGTAACCAAGTCATCTCCCCAAAATGAAGCCAAGGAAACTTCCAGTTACATAGGAATTCAGATAAAGACTCACTGTGAGTAGCTATTCTGCGCCTATCTCTCCTCCCCTCCTCCAAACACTCACAAACAAAAACAAAATGTACCCTTGCCCACTTGAGAAAGAATTAAGAACTGGCAGCTCTGCTAAAGTGGACAGTTTCCAAGCCAAGGCCCTTCTCTGAAGATGTTGACAGAGCCAGAGAAAAGAGTAAAGAAATCACAACTCAGTTAAGTTTTAAGAAAAACTTATCAATGGAAGGTATCCATCTTTCACATCCCCTTGTGTCCCAACTTTCACCAGGGATTGAAATCTAAGGCCCTCTAAGATGTCCTTTATCCTGTTCTTAGACTATTCTCCAGCAAAAATGACTAAAACACAAAATCCAAACTTCTTTAGCATGTTAAACCCAATTTTCCTCACAAAAAATCCAATGAAATAAAAAATACTGAGAAGATTTAGAGCCCAACTATAATGACATATCTTGTATGTATTTTTTTAGATATATTTTTTTGTCAATGCCCAATTTCTTTCTTTTACCAAAGTTTCTGGTACAACTTAAAACTAAGTTTGAAAGAAAACAATTTGCAGGGAACTTAGCAGGAGAGATAAATACATCTGCACACTCAATAAAAATAAATACCTTGACATTCTTCTACAACTGAATCATTACAGCTGAATAATAACATCCTCTTCACTCCACTCCAGGGCATCCAACTGTCCAAGGTCAAACGTCCCTATTCCCCAAGGTAATCTCAGGGCAGATCTTCCACAGTCAGACCTGGGAAAAGTCGTTGGACTGGTAAACAGACAATGGGATGGATGACAGAAATCCCTCTGTCTTCTGGCACAATACAGTGTGTGAGAATGTAAGGAACACTAGAGTGGGACTTGCGAAGGACTTAAGAGGTGACCTAACGTTTACTAATGACCTGCCACCTTACAGGCACTGAAGACTGAATTCCAGACCAACCTATCACTAAAACTACTTCTGTGATCCTGAGTAAAGCTCAGGCATTCCATTTGAAAATGAACAAGGGAGACTAACAAAGTATAACAATCCCTGTAGTTATTCCACGATTCTATAAACATGATCACTCAACCACAAATGTGTTACTGTTAAGTATAATAAGGTTATTTTAAAGCCTTCATTTTGCTCCTCTCCAATCCACTATCTACACCCCATTGACAAAAGATCTTTCTAGAACATGAAATTTACTTTATCACCCAATGTGATTCATCATTTATTTCAGCACAAGATAAAGCTGTCTGTGATCAGCCTTACCTACCTCCCCAGTCTCACCCCTGCCCTCCAACCCTGGCCTCCAGCCAAAATAATTATTAAAAGTTACCTGAAGAAGCCTGGCTATTTCGTTTCTTTAAGCTTTTGTTCATGCTGTTTTCTCAGCCTGCAGTGTACTTCTTTCTCCCTGTCTTCTGTACGGTATATCCTTAACTCATCTTGCAAGACAGCTCAAATGTCTTTTCCTCTGAGAGGCACTTTCAAAAGTATGTGTGCCCAAGGCAGAACTGACCTCAGGCCTCCACTTTCTCCCCTACGCACTTCTGGTGCAGCATCTCTAATCCTTCATTCCATCTAGATATTTGCACATCTGTCTCCTCCCACTAGACCTTGTCTGACTCAAGGTCTCTAGTTTCCTGTTCCTAAAACGATGCTTACAAGATGATACTCATTCCAGGAATTTGATGGAGTAGGGAGTAGAGCAGTGGTTCTCAACCTTCCTAATGCCGCGACCCTTTAATACAGTTCCTCATGTTGTGGTGACCCCAACAATAAAATTATTTTCATTGCTACTTCATAACTGTAATGTTGCTACTGTTATGAATCGTAATGTAAATATCTGATATGCAGGATGTATTTAGGCGACCCCTGTGAAAGGGTCATTCGACCCTCAAAGGGGTCGCGACCCACAGGTTGAGAACCACTGGAGTAGAGGCATAGAAAATAGAAAGGAGAGCCCTAGTCGGCTTGGCTCAGTGGATAGAGAGTCAGCCTGCGGACTGAAGGGTCCCGGGTTCGATTCAGGCCAAGGGCACATGCCTGGGTTGCGGGCTCGATCCCCAGTAGGGAGCGTGCAGGAGGCAGCCGATCAATGACTCTCTCTCATCATTGATGTTTCTATCTCTCTCCTCTCTTCCTCTCTGAAATCAATAAAGAAATGTATTTTTTTTAAATATATTTTATTGATTTTTTACAGAGAGGAAGGGAGAGAGAGATAGAGAGTTAGAAACATCGATGAGAGAAACATCGATCAGCTGCCTCCTGCACATCTCCCACTGGGGATGTGCCCACAACCCAGGTACATGCCCTTGACCGGAATCGAACTTGGGACCTTTCAGCCCGCAAGCCGACGCTCTATCCACTGAGCCAAACCGGTTTCGGCAAGAAATGTATTTTAAAAAAAGAAAATAGGAAGGAGAAGGAAGAATCAATTGGGATGGCCTGAAGAATGGAGAATCAGTGTTTATCGGTACCATCAGATTTGGCCTTCTGTTCTTTCCCGAAATTCTAGTCTTCAGACACCTTATTCATTCTCTTGGCCACAGCTACATCTGTGCTAAAGAACTGCAAAACCACACTTGCAAGCTAGTAACCCCCACCTCTCCGCCAGCTTTAGGCTCATCTCTAACAACAGGAACAGCTTTCGCTTGGATGTTTCATTGTCGCTTTAGATCCAACACATCTCAAATTGAACTCATCGTATTCCCCTAAAAAAGAAAAGACAAAACCTTCCTATCTTCTCTATTTCAGTCAATATCTTAGAAACCCAAGCTTAAACTGTCATTAGACATACCTGATCACACCCCTTCATCTTCACTGTCCGGTCCAGATGATTTCAATTTTTCCTTCACAATCTCTTTTTCTTTCTTCTCCTTATTCCACTCTCCACACAACTCTAGTGAATCACCTCACACACCACAGGTGCCAAATTTCCCTTCCCTACAAGCCAACCTTGTTCCCTACTATCATCATATTACTATCCCAATCAAAATTTCTCAGTGGTTCACAATTTTCTATCATTCAAAATCTAAACTTATAAGCCTAGCTTTTAAGACCCCTTATAAACATAGCTCCAAACTGTCCTAACCACCTTTGTTTCACTATTTACTGCTACTCAGTCTTATCACTGACCCAAGAACATCCTGAGTATATCCCTATTCCAGGCTTTTGCTTGATCCCTTCTCAGCTTCAAAATGAAATAATTTTTGTTATTTTCTTCATTCCTTGTACCTAATACCATTTTATTTTTTAAGATCTGGAATCAGTTCCAATTCCTCTGTGACATCATTCATAAGTACCTGAGTATTCTTCTCTCAAAATACCTACAGTATAAAGTGTGTACTATGCAATAGAAAATATACTTTCACATTTTTAAAAATTTTATTTGTGTGGCATAACAGAAGCTCAATAGTCATTTCTTCCCATTCTCCTTACTCCTAACTGGACTGTAAACTCTTCAAGGGCACAAAATTGTCATTTTATCTAATCCTCCACATCATCTAGCATAGAGCTAAACTCGGAGCAGGTCATTAAAAATAATAGTTTAGTGATTTCTCCCATCCAAAACTATTTCTTCCAAGAAATAAAGGGATAAAACATAATCCTAAAAATCACAGTTGAAAATAATCCTGAACTGCACTAAGATTCCTGAATTTCCACCTCTGATTTCCAGCTGAGATACTACAATATTCTGACTCAAGAGTAAGTAATAATCCTGTGCTCATGACATCACAAGCACATAGTTTGGTAATGATGATGAGAAGGTGGGGGTGGGGAGGCAGGTAGGCGTGAAGGAAAGCAAGTAGACTGAAAGAACAAGGTTGAAAGAACAGCTGTGTGATTTTATTCATTTTTAAATGTGGACACTTCTTATTCTTTTTTTTTTTTTTAATTGGCCATATTTTCAAACAAGTTTACTTTAGGAGGGAAGATCTGACAGATTTTCAGTGGAGCTAACATCTGGAAGAGCCTCTACAAAGCACAGGTCTTTTGAAAAAGCCACCTTAATCTTTAACAATGCAACATATGACAGTAAGATTCCTCCAAATACTGTGAGTGAAGACTCATTCTGGCTGCAACATCTACCACTCACCCTTAAGGATAAGGTGTCTAGACAGCCTGAGAGGCCATATTGGACCCACACAGATTTTGAAAAGAAATTGTTCATTAACATATGCAGTCTAGTCTTAATTGTCCTCAAATGGGTTATTCATTTTATGGATTTCTGAGCCAAAGGCTTTAAGATTGACTGTTCTCATCACTATCAGGTAATACAAGCTTAGAACTGCAGATTCATTTCAACAGTAGTATGATCGATTCCAAAACACGAAAATAAATCTGGTTAAAAAATAATGTATTTCAAGCCAAGAAATTTATTAAGTTCTGAATTACCAATGCTAGTGCCCTCTATATAGCAGAGAAAGTTAACTGTATGAAAACATGATGCTGTCCTTACCATAAGCTCTTGAGGAGAATCCTGCCATAGTCTTGAGACTTCCCCACAGATCGGTACAATGGGAGACAAACACGAGCAGAGCTCAGCATAGTGAGTAAGGTGCACGAATGCAAAAACTTCTACAGGAATCTTATGTCTCCTGGCTGATCCTTTTAAGCCAGGATGGTCCAGAAGAGAAGCAGGAGTCACAGTGTACCGGTGCCTGCCTGCTTCCTTGTCCCCGAGTTCCTGAACCAGAAGGCTCGATACTCCTTATTAAATCCATCCTTTGTTCAAGGACCTACAATGACTCCATTGACCCTTCTATCAACACACAACAGAGTCTGGCCACTGAGTCTCCTCCACCCTCTTGCTTGCTCTACCCAGGACTTGACCAACCCACATTCTCTGCAGTCACCCTCTTTTATTCCGACAAACACAACTTCGTCATTCATACTGTACATTCTATACTTTCTGCCTGGAAGATCTTTTCTTTACTCCTAACATTTACTTGACTACTCACACATATTTTATAGATAAGGATGAAGTACATTGTCCAAGGTCACAGAGTATAAACCTCAACCAAGATATGAACCAAGTTTCATCTAACTCTGTAGTCCCTGCCTCTTTGTCACTCTAATCCATTGCCTCCGAAGTCCATTTCAAATTTTACTGATTCAGAAACAGTCCCTAATTCATCTCATTCTTCTTTTGTTACTTCAAGTTTTCTAGACTTTACATACTGCATTTATGGCAATCATATTTGGTTTTGTTTCTATGTTGTTTCCTAAATGTTAAAGTTTATAATAGTCTGCCTTTCCATTTACTGTATACCGCCTTCCCTAACCCCACCCCATCCCAAGGGCAAAAACACCTGTCTTTACACCTCTTACATCTTCCCAAAACCTGTCACTGGAGTCTAGAGACTGCTTTATCCACCTCAGTATTCAATCATTATTTGGCAAGGACTTCTTACTTAAAAAAAAAAAAAAAAAAAAAAAAAAATCAACTCCCTCTTTCTATCATATTAAAAAATCAACTGAGTCCGGGCATTCATGATAAAACTGCCCTGCAACTACATTCCAGTTTCACAGATTTTAATTGTCTAAATTTATCAGGGGCTGTTGAGAAGATTCCAGTCTGCCATTGCACAGCTCCCACAGGAAACCTACTGCTGAAGTCACATTTTAAAGCGATGTTTAGGGAGTCTTCCCTTGACGGGATGAATGTTTAGAGTGAGAAGGGGTGCTTCCTTACAATGTCCTCTGCCAGCATCCTTAGCATGCCTGAGACATTTAGGACCGCTAAAGCTTTTGACAAATGTTACTCAGTGCCCCCCATAACAAACTGAGAACTTATTTTTAGTACTGAGTTATTCCATCATAATTCACTTGGTTAATCATATTGAATCTCAAAATTCCAAACAAAGCCTTCTGAAAACTGGAAATAGTGGTGGGCTATTAGGCTGCCCTACACTTAACCTTGGTTTATTTAACCCCTCAATTCTCACTCCTATCCACGCGGAATTATATATATAGTTCAACTAGGGAGAGTTGCTAAATACAGACATAATAGAATTTACCAAATATGATCACTAATATTGACACAAACCAACTCGCATATTGAAAGAATTATTGATCAGCAGACTCTGAGAGGATGTGTGATTTTTAAAAATTAGATTTTACCCTCCAAATTAAATTTTCAATAGATGCCCAAAAGAAAGAGATTAAGTAAAGGTTCAGGAAAATTTCCAAGTTGCTGGTGACATAACTCCACCAAGTCCAACTAACAATTAGCATTCATTACTGGTCAGCCTGCCTTAATACAAGTCAGCAGACAGCCCTTCCTTTGGCAAAGGTTTAGGTGGTGGTTTTATTCACAAGGAAGTTTTTGGCATTAAATGAAAGGGGTAAGTCAAATCGGGCAACAACAAAAAAATTATAGTTTGGGAAATATCTTCCTTCCATTTTCCCTTCCTGCTGGAATGCATAAAGTCCAAAGTGGATAGCTGTTCAATTCTAAATTATTCATGTTAATGGATAATTATCGGCAGGAAGGTGCTGATAATCCAAAATGGGAAAATTTTTTAAATAACCGATTTCAGTTCTGGAATATCTTTTCAGCATATTTACCTTCTCAATTACTCCTAGCATGAGCTAATATTTGTATTCATTTGCAATCCCAAAGTACATAGTAACTGGCCACTTATTCAGGGAGGTGCTCTGAGGCACACAGGGTAGCTAGTGGAAATTATAACAGACCCGTATTCAGACTCCAGATGAGCAACATCAACTTCATTTATTTTACAGTTCTGTTCAGCCTTCAAAATATCAACAGACTAGCACAGCAGGATGGTTAGTAAACTTTAAAAGGACTGCTCAAAAAACAATGAGGACAAAGAGTATAATTGTTTGCCTATAATGTATTCATTTGTAAATTATGCAGAGCAAATGTTTAATTACAAGTCTGATTCTCCCTAGCCACCTGGCTTAAGTCCCTGCAGTCTTCTCCACCCCATCAGGAACGCAATCTCATTTACTCTGAGGGACATTTTTAAAGTTATATAATACAGAAAAATGTTTTTACAAGATTTAGGATTAGCTACCCTTTTGGACTAGCCTTACCACCACTTCTACTTTGTCCTTTCCCACCTTAGAAATAGATTCTGAAAGACAAAGGGATCCACCTCCTCAAAGGTCTCCAAAATATACAGCATGAGAAGACAAAGACTGAAAATGTACCCATTTCGGATTCTCGAAAAAGCATTTTAAATAGGTCTTTATGAAAAGATAAGGAAAATAAGAGCCAACGTCCCGCTAATTCTTGCTTTTGCCTTTGTAACTTCTGAAGAGTCTGCAGAGAACCTTACATAAAATTCCATCCGTCCGTTTCTTTCCACTTAACATTTATATCTGCGCTGTGCCCAGAGGAGCCGCCTCGGGTAGACCGGCTACCTAGACGGCGGGCGCGGGAGGAGGGAGGCTCAGCCCCGCGCTGCGCGCCGACGGCTAAAAATACGCCGGCCCAGTAAACAAATCCCATTCCGTCCCGACCCAGCCGCACCGTTAACCCAGTAATTACGAGCAGAGGAGTGAGATCAGCAGCCCCCGGCTTACTCATCACCAGCGTCTAAAGTTTCCATCGGCTCACGGCAACTTTGCCTTTTTCTGAAGTTCACCCGCCGGCCCTAGAATGGCTCGCACACACTTTTCCGCTCCCTTCCTCCATTACCCGGCGCGCCTCAGTTGGGCTATCGACAGGGGAGAGCACGCCTGTCTTTCCATTTTACTTTCATGCGGAGACTTGACGATGAACTTTATCCGACTGCGGGGTAGTCGCCTGCACTCTAACCACCTACGACTCCACCATCCCTCCCCGAAAGTCTCGCTGACACCGTCCGAACTGCCCCGCGCACTTGGGGGACCAGGATCGGGGGAGGGAGAAGGGAGAGGACGCGGGCACAGGTGAAAGGGAGGAGTAACAGGGAGGAGGGGACGAAGCCAGGGGCAGTCAGGGCGAGGAGGGGTGCCCAGAGCCGCCGGCCCGGGGCGAAATGTAATCAGAAAGGAGAAGGGGGCCCGTGGAGATCGGAGGGTCAGAGCTGGGGAAACTGGAGGGGCGAAGGGGCGGGGGCAGAGCGGGGGAGGGTGACAAGGCGGGGGGCTCCGTTACCCTCGCGGCTCCCGGGGCGAGGCCCTAGGCCGGGGCGGAGCGCGGGGCCCGGCCGCCTCTCCTCATTCCTCTGCTGTGACCCCGGGGTCCGGCCGGCCCCTCCCCTGACGACGATGGAGGCGGAGGCGGTGGCGGAGACGGCGACCGCGGCTGTCGCTGCGCCCGGGAGCCGGAGCCGGAGCCAGACGGGACTGACCGGACCGGCCTCCTCCAGCGGCTTTTTCCCACTCCACACACGGTCGCCGCTCCGACTCCGGCGGCTGGTTCAGGATCGGTGGTTTTCGGCCGTCCGGCCGGAAACAAGCGCCAGTTTCCGGCCGGAGCGGGTTGGTGGTAACACCCAAGCCGCCCCCGGGCCTCCTCCCGCCCCGCCCCGCCCCGCCCCGCCCCGCCCCGCCCCGCCCCTCCCGTAGCAGCCCCGCCTTCAGCGCCGCTCCCCGCGCCGCGGCCGGTTTGGCGCCTGCCCCGCGAGTGACCCGGGTTTCCCTGGCCGGGCCCCTGCGGCCGCCGGTCCGGAGGGGTGCTGAGCCCGAGAGGAGCGGGCAGGGGGGCTTTTGAGACTTGGCGGTCGACTCCGTGGCTGCAGCGCTTTGGAAAGAAGCGGGAAGAAGCGGGTGTCCTAGAAAGGTGAGAGGGATGAGAATGCAATGAGACATCTGAAATTCCAGTGAGAGTCTAGAATGAAGAGACTCCATCATTCTAGACTGACCAGAGGAAAATGATCGCCTCTTCCAGAACAGGCTCCGTCCAGTTATGCACTCCCCTTTCTCCACTCCTGAGGTAAACATACCCTTCCCTATACACACCCAATACTTATTAATTTGCATAATGATGATACGTTATGGACACATCTGCCTTAGACCGTTAGCACAATCAAAAAAAGTTATGTAGTCGAAACCAGTTTGGCTCAGTGGATAGAGCGTCGGCCTGCGGACTGAAGGGTCCCAGGTTCCATTCCGGTCAAGGGCATGTACCTGGGTTGCGGGCACATCCCCAGTGGGAGAAGGGCAGGAGGCAGCTGATGGATGTTTCTGGCTCTCTGTCTCTCTCCCTTCCTCTCTGTGGAAAATCAGTGGAATATATTTAAAAAAAAAAAAAAAGTTATGTAGAACCTTTTTTATGGTAATGGCTTTTAACAACGTAATTCAAATATTTATTGAGTCTCCACTATGTGCAAGGCACTGTGCTCATTTACATTGGGGACACAAAAATGAGCAAGACATCAAGGATCTTACACTTTAGTAGAATACATGAAACTATATCCTATAAGGCAGAACTCACATGTGCAACGTGTTACAATAAGATATGGCTACGAGAACATAAGCTTGCCTGGCACATAGCACACCTTCCATATTTGTTGGATGAATAAGGAAATATTAGGAGAATGTGGACTGTTTCAAGAAAGAAGTGCTGTTTAATAAATACCTCTTATGATAAACACAAAATGGGGGCAGTCCCTGCTATAATCTGACCAAGAAAATCCTCCATTCAAATTCCTAACATTGTGGCACCTGGTCTACATATTCAAAACGTCTATTGTCTAAATTGTGTCTGTTAGGTCTATTTATAAATAAACTAGAGGACCAGTGCACAAATTCATGCATCGGTGGTATCCCTCGGCCTGGCCTGCAGAGATGGGGCCGAAACCGGCTCTCCGACATCCCCCGAGGGGTCCCGGATTGCGAGAGGGTGCAGGCCAGGCCGAGGGCCCCCACCAGTGCACTGGGGCAGGGAGGGACCGCAGGAGGGCTCCAGGGCATGTCTGTCCCATCTCACCCAGTCTGGATCGGCTGAACCCCAGCAGCAAGCTAACCTACCGGTTGGAATGTCATAGTGACTGGTTGGACGGTTGGACACTTAGCATATTAGGCTTTTATTATATAGGATATTACAGTCAACTTCTCTGTCTCCTCACTAATTTCTGAAGTCCTCAGTTTCTAAACAGGTGGAGAAGAGACATATTAGAATTATCCATCTCAAGACTAGAAAATCGACTCCTGAAACGGGACACGTCCTAACTAGCTATATCTCTTGGGGATATCCTGGGTTTACAGTTGAAGATCTAGGCCTGGGCCTAGGGCCATACCACGGCCAAGCAGGTCTGAATGCCTTGCACCCAGGACCAACAATACAGGTTAGCAAATTGAGCCATTTGGCTGGAGCTT